TATATGTATATATATATATGTATATGTATATATATATATGTATATATGTACAGTATATATGTACATATATATGTACGTATATATATATATGTACATATACGTACATATATATAAATATATATATACAGGGGTACATATACATGTACATATACATATGTGTGTATATATATACATATATGTGTGTATATATATATATATACATATATGTGTGTATATACATATATGTGTATATGTATACATGTGTGTATGTATGTATGTATGTATGTATATGTGTATATATATATATGAATTTAAAGTAAGAATACTACAGTGTAGAAATAATCCTGCAGTAAAAAGTACAATATATGGCCTCTGAACTGTAGTGAAGTAGAAGTACTGAAGAAATAAGTACCTCAAAGCTGTACTTAAAGTGCAGTACTTGTACTAAATGTACTAATGTTGAAAAGAACATGAACCCGGAAGCTGTACACGCGCACGCTTTCATACATTTGAACCCATTGACCTACAAACGGCCTCGGTGAGGTGGGGGGGGCGTGGTTTAGAGCGCACACCTAACGGACAGGCCCCGCCCACATCCCCACCTCACCACTCAGGTAATAACTGTTGGCACATTAGCAGCGACACGGTGTTCACATGTTGTGATTCACACGATGGCTGACAGCTGAAACCCGCGCGACGGATCCCACTCACCGCACAGGTACGTTCCGACTCTTTCCACGAGCGAACGAGCTGCTTCAGACAGGTGTAGGCGGACTTTAACCGCGAAACGTGAAGTCAGTAGAAGAGATGTTGTAGCTGAACTTATCTTTGTGTTGGTGTCAACTTAATTAAAGCAGTGTAATGTCGGCGGAGCGTTGTTGAGGTAATGGGAGTTCATTCATTTATGTTAACATGAGGTTTTTGTCGCTTTGACTACATGTTGGGTTTTATGTGTTTAGAAGTAGCAGGAGTTTGTCTGTTCCTCCGTCTCTAACAGAGGTTATAAACAAAGTTATCCAACATTTCTTAACCTGAACTGAGGGTTTCAGGTGGACCTCCAGCACGTGTGATGTCTCAGGTGACCCACATACAGGAGGACCCTCATCATCGGCCTACTTACATACTGCATAGTGCGGGGCTGTTGGATCAGGACCACATATCTCTAATTATGATCACACTGACTTTAACAAGCTAAATAAATGTGTTATCAGCCATTTAGTAGGTTAATTATGAGTTTTAAATCGGGCAGAGAAAGTACAGATTCTACTGGTATTCTGGATTGTGAGGATTTGCTGCTTTTCTTCGTCTTCTGTGACATAAACTCTGTTTGTGGGAGTGTTGGGCTGAAACACAAGCTAGTTGAACACATATTGAGTTCATTAGATGGTCATTTTCCACAAAATTATAACTAACATAATCACCAGATAAATATAAAATATATACTGAATTATGTAATAAAATATAGATTTCTGTAGCTCTTTATATTTAGTCATAAATCACAGGTGATGACATCATACACTCGTATGAGAGGTGTCTGACCACTGGAGTTCATAAGCGGCCATTTTGATAATTAATTAATTGTTTAAAGCCTTTTAATCGAGCAGAAATCTCTTCTTCACTGTTTTTATTTCACTTTAAACTTGTTGTTTTTAGGACTGTTGTTGGTCGGACGACGACGTCACTTTGGGAACTTCATTTGAATTTAATTAGCTAAGGAGATAATTAATCCCCCAAAAAAACACAATCATCGGATGAGTGTGTAATTACATTGTTGGCTGCAGCCCGACATCTGGGACATTCCACTGATTATTACCGTCTGGTCGGCTCTTCACTCGAGGAAACCGGTTGTTGGCCGAATTTAAGTTTCTACAAACAAGTGCAGAGTTTCATCGTCTGCCTGCCTACAATAACAACACAACAAACCCTGTCTTCTGGACATGTGTGTATATAATATACGTTTTATATCTGATATGTTCAGCTTCAGTCGTAGTGAATCCTTCAGCTGATTGTGTGTGTTGTTGTTGCTTCGGTCTGCAGGACGTTCGTGATAACTACGATGACATCAGTGATGAAACGACCGCGTCGCATAAATATTATTCAGATTAACACAACAGAACACGGCTGAGTCACTTTCGTCTCAAATAGATTTTTGATGGCGCAGAGCCAGAGATATTACGAAAACTGGATTTACACACACACACACACACACCCACACACACGCACACACGCGCGCACGCGCAGCATGAAAACACCTGCTGCTCTGTGTTGTTTGAATATAAAACATAGTGCAGCATGTGATTAAATACTACAACAAAGTATTCTTCATTTACTGTTCTTATTTCTTTATCATTTGAATTGTGTGTTTATATGAAGAAATAAAACACTATAAATTATTATAAAATCAAGTTAAAGGGAAATGTTTAGTATTTTTCATAGTTTACTGACTTTAGAGAGGTTGAAATTACTTTTGGGAAAATGGCAAAAGAAAAGCAATATCAGAGTTCTATTCCCTTTTTGTTTCTTATGTGCTGATCCGTGACTCTGATCCGTGACGTGACTCTGATCCGTGACTCTTCTGATCCGCTGCACCTCTTATTAAACACAGTAGTTGAGTAAATGTACTGAGTTACTCCACCAGTGTAAACAACGCTCCCGTGTGTCTCCTCAGCCTTCAGTTCTTCCTGCTCGGGCAGCATGATGGAGGTGGAAGGTCCCTGGAAAGAAGTGTTCGAGGGCTCGGAGAGGAAGGAGACGTCGGAGGAAGCAGAGGTGCTGTTGGGCTCCTCTCGCTCTGTGGCTCCTCTAGTGGACTGGTCTCCGTCCATCAGACGCTCACAGCCCATCGTCATCAACGTCAACCGGTAACACACACACGCACACACACACACACACACACACGCACACACTGTGGACATGAGTCAATAGTCGTCTCCAGCTGGATGTTGACTCAACTTCAGGCCGAAAGTCGTCCGATGTGTAAATAAGTTTCTGTTGAGACGACCAGATAAGACACGCGTAATAAAACTGAGATTCTCTGAGAACGTTTGTTTTAGTTTCACTTCCTTAGTTTCATGTTTTCTGCCCTGAAGACAAAGAAATCAGTGTTTCCTCGATGCAATGCTGTCAAATAGATAAACATCCTAATTAAACATTATTATTTAGAAACTGGCTTGATTTTATGACAGTGTATCAAAATGCAGCGTTCTGCTAGGAAAGTTTAAATACACTGAAGAGCTCCAATCAGTTTCTTTTCCCCAGAATGTGAAAAACACTGTCGTTTTTAATCAAACGGGAAGAAATGGTTCATTTGTTTGGGACTATTTTCAGCGGCGGATTAATGCACTGAGAGGTGCGGTCACAAACCGGAGGAAGCAGGAGACGAGGAGGCACGGAATGAGAATAAACAAATGTCCTCTTTGTTTACCGATACTGTCGGACTTCACTGACGACTCACAACTTTAAAATCTGCTCACAAATGTATAGTTTTATATTTAAAATAAAGGTTCAGTAGTTTCATTAAACGGCTGCTCACTGTAGTTAATAATCAAACAGCAGGAAATAGAGCGTTTGTTGGGGACTATTTTCAGCAGCGGATGAATCCACATTTAGTGCTCTAGTGAGTGTTTATGTGTGTTTTTAATGAAGCTACAGAACATCACCAGACTTGTCTTTTAATGGCTTGTAATTGTACATTTATATTAAGATCATTTGTCAATTTTGGATTTCTGCTGACCTCCATTTTTAATGATCTTTTGTTCGTTTCTGCATCTTTTTCCAGGGCGAAGGGCGTCAACTCCTTCTCTTACTCCGTGCCATCGATACCGAACCCGTTTCCGGAGCTGTGCAGCCCCTCAAAGTCTCCGGTGCTTGTTGGTTCTCTTCCATCGCCGTCCAGCAACAAGCATGTGAGTTTAAAGCCTCGTTGGTGAGCAGGAGCTCCACATGAAGTCTGTTCAGTTTTTAACACTTTAATTCCTCTCAAAATGTAGATCCACATTGAATGGATACGTCCGTCAATATTCTGTTATTCTTACTGTCAGAAAATCACATGAAAAGACTAAAAACAACAATGAATTCATCTTATTACAAGAACTGTCTGTGTAGCCAAACGTGTATTCATCCGCCACGTCTTGAGTTTATCCTCTTACGGTGTATTTGTTTGGACAAATTCCGCCTTCTGTGTTAATCCCATCACACCTGTGTGAGCTGACGGGTCTGACAGCTGAGGAGAATCAGCAACCGGATCCTCTAAATGTGTCTCGACCTGTTTGCTGAAACATCGGGTGAAGTTCGGTCGTGAGCGACGGCCGCGTTGCCGTGCGACGCCGCCTTATTTTGGGTAAACACGTCTGTTGATTCCAGCGTGTCGTCGTCCCGCTCGCTCTCCTGTGGTTCTACATGAACAGCGATGGCTGTTTACTGTGAACTCATTGTTTACAGCGGCGCACTATATACCTGTCCATGTAGCTTCAATTCATTTTTCTCACAATATAATCAAAAAGAACGGATGAGTGAATCGCTAAGGAACCGAACCAATGAGCCGTATCTACGAGTACTAGCATGTATAAAATCCTAACGATACTCATCACTAGGTGGGACGTATTTCCTCCAGTCACCGTTTATTTAAATCACGAGAGTCTGAAGATTTACACAAAATTCAGTCGGCTTTAAACTGATTGTGTCCTTACAATATATGCACCATAGTCTGTTGGACTACTATAGTCCTCAAACTGAACTTTAAATATAGAATACGGTGGCCTGCAGGTAATGTGACGATGCAAGAAGTCTCTCTCTGTAGACGGTGTTTGGTTTGACCCTTCTGGGCTACCGTAGAGACGTAGAGCGACTCATTTCCCTGACGTTTTAAACTTGGACTCGTTGACTAGTAAAAAAATATGAAAACACTCCAAAAACTGTCTTTCTTTGGCACAGTTCAACTTATCTGGTTAAATATTGTCTAAAAACAGATATTGTGTATATTATCACATTTTTAAGAACCAAATTGTGTTTTGAATGCCACTTAAATCAAGTGTGGACGTCAACACGGCGGTCGCTCCTCATGTAGAGATGAAGAGCTCATTCTAAGCTAACGGACATGATTCTCTATTCCGTAGTCATAAATATTGTATTACGTTAATGTTAATAAATCACTCTCAATGCACTTTTAAGGATTTCTCTTTAACATAAAATTGTCATCAATAAAAGACTCTATCAGGACTGAGTGGAAGTTACCAAACAAACGTCCCACGAGGGCTGAGAAGAGTTGTTTTTAATTAGACTAGTTTAAAGTAAAGTTATTGTTCCTTCACCCGCCTCTCTATTTAATGAAGCGTTGCTCTGTTTGTGACTCAGCATTTAGAGATATAAAACCAGTTTGATATAATAAATGGAATCTTTCTATTTGTAGTGTTTTTATAATATCTGAGAGATTTCCCTCTTTAGTGTAAAAGCAGAAGTCAAAGTGGAATGACCGGACGTTGTCCCTCTGGAGGAATGTTCCTCCTCCAGTCGAGGATAATTTGTCCCGACTGACGTCGACACTCGTCCGACCGGTCGGGACTCTCCGACGTGACGGCGGCTGGTTTTGTGGCCGGGCCGGTTTGTTGTCTTTAGGCGCCGGATGAGGTCGACGTGTCAGACGGCAGCACGCTCCTAAAAACACACACAAAGCATCCTGACCCTTAAATAACCTGAACCCAGAGCACAGAGCAGCCTCGTTCATCTGATCATCACACACACAGAACGTGTCTCTACTCGACAGCAAACCTGTGACTTCACTTCGCCTCTGGACTTCCTCAGGGACGGTCTGGAAGAGTGTGAAGAGCCGTCTCTCTTTAACCACCAACTGTCTGAATTTGCAGCGCTGCGGTTGACAGATTCTTGGCGGTTGACAGATTCTTGGCAGAGCCGACGTTTATTCAGTTACTCAGAATTTAAAAAACAAGCGTTTGAATTCACAAACGCTTCACATACTGTAGGGAAAAAGCTAAGAATAAAATAAAATACACTTTCATTCTGCACTTAGGGGATGAAGGCGTCTGCCCCAGCTGCAGTCGGTATAAAATAGTTGCACAGAAAGTCTCAGTAAGTTACTAAAACAGCTGCTCACTGTAGTGTTTAATCAAACGAACAAAGAGTGAACGACTCGGCGTCTTGGAATGCAACACGTTTAATATAATCTTGCGTAAAGAAGTAAAAACATTTTGAACCACCTTGTTCTTCACAAGTGTTGACTGTATACATGAATGTTTTCCCATCAGCTGATCAAGGTGTATGGCGAGGACAGCCACAGCAGGTCGGTGTGGGTTTCTCGAGGAGCGACGACCAGAGAGGTTTGTCACATGTTGGTCCAGACGGCTCACTGCAGCGACCACCAGAACTGGGCTCTGCTGGAGCTCCACCCCACGCTGGGTCTGGGTATGACTGCTGAACAGAGAACCGTCACTAAATGGTGCCAAAACAAAAGGC